CATTGTATACCTGCAATGTCTCTTTACAGGTATGCACATTGAATTGATGTAAACTTGTACAGTACTGTATGATGATTCTACTGAATAAATAGAGGTAAAAACCTGTACAGTACTGTATGATGATTCTACTGAATAAATAGAGGTAAAAACCTGTACAGTACAGTATATAAGTGTGTTATTAAAGATATACGCACCTATTACAGAGAGCAGAGCTTGTCTATACGCCAATCCAAAGTTGCTTGTGGCAGTACAAACATAAACACCCGTGTCCTGTACTGACACGTGGGGGATCACCAGCTGTAAGATAAAACAATAAATAAACTCCAGAGGAAGGAAGAACATTCTATTGTCAACAAATACAAAATGTCTATGTTAGGAGAAGGATCATTGCTGAAATTCTCTACAGTACAATCAAATGAAACACTGAACACCTCTAATGACCAAAATGATGTTGGCATTGAAAACATTAAAATTATTTATTTTGGAAATCTATGTAATGGTTTACCTCGCTCCTCTACCACATATGCCGCTTCCTATTCCAAAAGTAAGAAGTTAACACACATTATCAAGAGGTCGAGAACACTACCAGTGAGTCGACCAAGACACAAAAATAAGTGAGTAAAAGCGGCATCAAACTGGCACTTGTATTGGCAATTTTCACTTTCGGCTAGTACTAGTGGCTAGTTTTGAGGGGCTACTGGCTGGAGTTCTGACTGCCAACAGCCCATTTGTCCAGCCTGAAATATTGGTCTTAAAATCACAGGTACCGCAATTCTCCGGAGTCAAAACAGAATCACTATTGCATTATATTAATATTAATAGAAATTATGTATTATGTGTAGGTTTGATGAACAGTCATCATTCAGATAGTTGTAATATGCAAGGTGTGCTAAAAAAATATATATAATAAAATTAAATAAAGTTTTCTACACTGTCTAATTTGAATCAGTTGCTAACATCCTTCTCCTCGTCCATTTATCTTTTTATTTCCACAATGAAAATACAAAACAATCACATAAACCTTTAAATAAAACACTTACCAGCATGTAGTACATATATCCTGAAAATATCAAAACTAGTGTTAATTAGGGCTATTACTGTAAATTTAGTCTGTTTCTGCAGATCAGAGCCAAGCTTTCTTCCCTCTCACTAGCCAGGAATAAGTCCACAAGCGTTTCTTCTCATGTGCAGGTCGTGTTGTGTTGTGTCTCTGTAACAAAATGTTTGCACTCAGGCCTTCGTTAGTGAGCAGCAGCAATTTGACAGTAATTACATAAAAGCATCGTCTTAGTGATGTGAATGTGTAAATTGGTGTAGGATTTTTAACGTTATTCGCGATTGTATATTGAATTATTTTCCCTGCATACTAGGAAACAGGCTGGGAGGTATACAACCACAAAATCATTGCCATATGCACTTATCCTGTATCTAGCGTGCAGCAAAGATCATGTTAGTGGTGCCACGTGATGGTCTAAAGCCACATTGAGATTCAGGGAGAAAGTTTTCTGCTTCAGGAAGAAATCTGCTTACGAGGACTCGGGCGATAATCTTGCCAGCTTTGGACAGCAACGAGATTCCCCGGTAGTTGCCACAGTCTGACTGGAGGCATCTTTAAGAGCTTGGGGGTTTCCTCCTTTGTTTCCATACATTCTCCAGGAGAGAGTGGAGACGGTTGGTAAGCTGAGGTCCTCCTGCTTTATACACCTCGGCTGGGATTCCATCAGGCCCTGAGGTTTTGTTGTTTTTCATCTGTTTGATGGCGGTAGCTACCTCGTCCAAGGATGGAGGACAGCTGAGATGGGCTCTGGTTGCTGAGTAACCTTCTGGGTAGTCAGGACATCCACATCGGTGTTTCGGTTGAGCAGCGAATGGTAGTGCTCTTTCAAGCGCTGACGGATGCCTTCTTTGTGTTTAATTAGGGAGTTACTGTCGGATGAGCGGTAAGGGGGGCTATGCCATGAGTGAGTGGCACATAAAATGTTTTAGTGTTATTGAAAAATTTGCGCATCTTGTGTTGATCTGCAAGTTTTTGTGCTTCACATGCTTTATTTTTAAACCAGTCGTTCTTTAGTTTGTGAAGTTCACACTGGGCCGCCATTTTCTTCTTGCCGAAGGTATGAATGAGCTTTGTTCCGAGACTGAGGGTTGTTCTGCCAGTCATTTAAAGCAGCACCTTTATCATCGATGAGTACATGGATTGCCGGGTCATTTTCATCAAACCAGTCCTGGTGTATTCTTTCGATCTGGCCGAGGGTCTCTCTGCAGGCTTTTGTCATGACAGTGTCGAGAATACCCCATTCAGCATTGGGATTTGGGTTGTTTGTTGTCAGGTTGTTTATCAGCCCATGTTGGAGCTGCTCTCTGAAAGCATGTGCTACCGCTGGATCCTCCAGATGCTTCGTGTTAAAACCTCTTCTGGAGGCTTGCTGCCTTTGCCGTTTTGGGGCGACGTGAAGTGAGAGCTTAGCTCTGACGAGCCGATGAATAGTGTTGCAGTGTCTGAGGCATGCATTGTTCGGGTGATGAGGACATCTCGGCGATCTCTGTCTCTGACAATGATGTAGTCAATGAGATGCCAGTGTTTGGATCGTGGGTGTTGCCACAAACCCTTGAACTTGTCGGCCTGCCTAGACGAGGTATTGGTGATAGTGAGATTGTGTGCAGCACACTTGCTGAGGAGGAGTAGGCCATTGGGATTACACCTGCCTAGTCCATTTCTCCCTATGGTTCCCTGCCAAATGTCAGCATCTCTGCCATCTCTGGCATTGAAGTCACCAAAGAGCACAACCTTATCTTCTCTGCGTATAAAGGTTAGCACTTTGTCAAGGTCAGCGTAAAAGGCCTCCTTGATGTCATCTTCTGCATCCAGTGTTGGGGCGTATGCACTGATGAAGAAGGCATGACGTGAGTGATTCAGTGGGACTCTAAGTGTCATGAGGTGCTCGTTAATGCCAATAGGAGATATCAGTTCGCCTGCATAGGATGTGTTGGCGGATGGCAAAGCCAACTCCATAGAAGCGGTTTCTCTCCGCAGCAGGCTTCCCCTTCCAGAAGAAGGTGTATCCAGACCCCCGTTCTGTGAGCTGGCCCTCATCTGGGAGCCGGGACTCACTAATGGCTGCCACAAGGGCAGTTCTTCTTTCAGGAAGCTTATTTGTGCCAGTATCCAGAAGGGTCCTGACATTCCATGCAGCGACCATAAGAAGTTGTATGGTTTGTTTTTGTTTGGATCTGTGATTATAATTGACTGACACACACACACACACACACACACACACACACACACACACACACACACACACACACACACACACACACACACACACACACACACACACACACACACACACACACACACACACACACACACACACACACACACACACACACACACACACACACACACACACACACACACACACACACACACACACACACACACACACACACACACACACACACACACACACACACACACACACACACACACACACACACACACACACACACACACACACACACACACACACACACACACACACACACACACACACACACACACACACACACACACACACACACACACACACACACACACACACACACACACACACACACACACACACACACACACACACACACACACACACACACACACACACACACACACACACACACACACACACACACACACACACACACACACACACACACACACACACACACACACACACACACACACACACACACACACACACACACACACACACACACACACACACACACACACACACACACACACACACACACACACACACACACACACACACACACACACACACACACACACACACACACACACACACACACACACACACACACACACACACACACACACACACACACACACACACACACACACACACACACACACACACACACACACACACACACACACACACACACACACACACACACACACACACACACACACACACACACACACACACACACACACACACACACACACACACACACACACACACACACACACACACACACACACACACACACACACACACACACACACACACACACACACACACACACACACACACACACACACACACACACACACACACACACACACACACACACACACACACACACACACACACACACACACACGGGAAACTGAAGTACTCGGAATAAACTTGATTAACACCCTTCCCACATCTGTCCAGGAGGTTGAATCCGAGACAGAGTAGAGTAGTGTGAGCCAAACGTGCCACCACCATACCTTCTAACTTGAATACAGTAATATATGGTATTATAATATTCTTCTCCATTTCCCTATAACCTTCTTCATCCTTACCCCTGAATGGTTCTCAAATGCTCTTAACTTTATTTTATAAGATACACTAAGGACACATATAGTACCTTCATGAAGCTTAGAATCACAATCGTTTTTACAGCCTCGGTCGGATTTCAGCTCACCTTAGTGTAGAAGGATCCATCGGATGGGGTATGAACCTGTGTAGCTTGGAGAACAATATAACGGTGACCCTTCCAGTTTAAGGTGTCCTTGTCAGGGATGTGTTCTGCCTCATTTGAGCCATCTTCCAGTCGACGGAGCCACTGTGAACCAAGGAAGTGTTAACTATGAGTAGAAGAGACATAACTTTAAAATCATGCTGAGAAAGCCACTTAATAAGGGTTTGAGTCATGCAACACTTTGAATCGGAACACACTTGAATTATAGCTGGGTTGGGTGAATATATACCAGCAGATATGGTTATAAAATATACCAGCAGATATGGTTATAAAATATACCAGCAGATATGGTTACAAAATATACCAGCAGATATGGTTATAAAATATACCAGTAGATATGGTTACAAAATATACCAGCAGATATGGTTATAAAATATACCAGCAGATATGGTTATAAAATATACCAGCAGATATGGTTACAAAATATACCAGCAGATATGGTTACAAAATATACCAGCAGATATGGTTATAAAATATACCAGCAGATATGGTTATAAAATATACCAGCAGATATGGTTACAAAATATACCAGCAGATATGGTTACAAAATATACCAGCAGATATGGTTATAAAATATACCAGCAGATATGGTTACAAAATATACCAGCAGATATGGTTATAAAATATACCAGTAGATATGGTTACAAAATATACCAGCAGATATGGTTACAAAATATACCAGCAGATATGGTTACAAAATATACCAGCAGATATGGTTACAAAATATACCAGCAGATATGGTTATAAAATATACCAGCAGATATGGTTACAAAATATACCAGCAGATATGGTTATAAAATATACCAGCAGATATGGTTACAAAATATACCAGCAGATATGGTTATAAAATATACCAGCAGATATGGTTATAAAATATACCAGCAGATATGGTTACAAAATATACCAGCATATATGGTTATAAAATATACCAGCAGATATGGTTACAAAATATACCAGCATATATGGTTATAAAATATACCAGCAGATATGGTTATAAAATATACCAGCAGATATGGTTATAAAATATACCAGCAGATATGGTTATAAAATATACCAGCAGATATGGTTATAAAATATACCAGCAGATATGGTTACAAAATATACCAGCAGATATGGTTATAAAATATACCAGCAGATATGGTTACAAAATATACCAGCAGATATGGTTATAAAATATACCAGCAGATATGGTTATAAAATATACCAGCAGATATGGTTATAAAATATACCAGCAGATATGGTTACAAAATATACCAGCAGATATGGTTATAAAATATACCAGCAGATATGGTTATAAAATATACCAGCAGATATGGTTACAAAATATACCAGCAGATATGGTTACAAAATATACCAGCAGATATGGTTACAAAATATACCAGCAGATATGGTTATAAAATATACCAGCAGATATGGTTACAAAATATACCAGCAGATATGGTTATAAAATATACCAGCAGATATGGTTACAAAATATACCAGCAGATATGGTTACAAAATATACCAGCAGATATGGTTATAAAATATACCAGCAGATATGGTTACAAAATATACCAGCAGATATGGTTATAAAATATACCAGCAGATATGGTTACAAAATATACCAGCAGATATGGTTATAAAATATACCAGCAGATATGGTTACAAAATATACCAGCAGATATGGTTACAAAATATACCAGCAGATATGGTTATAAAATATACCAGCAGATATGGTTACAAAATATACCAGCAGATATGGTTATAAAATATACCAGCAGATATGGTTATAAAATATACCAGCAGATATGGTTATAAAATATACCAGCAGATATGGTTACAAAATATACCAGCAGATATGGTTATAAAATATACCAGCAGATATGGTTATAAAATATACCAGCAGATATGGTTAAAATATACCAGCAGATATGGTTACAAAATATACCAGCAGATATGGTTACAAAATATACCAGCAGATATGGTTATAAAATATACCAGCAGATATGGTTACAAAATATACCAGCAGATATGGTTACAAAATATACCAGCAGATATGGTTATAAAATATACCAGCAGATATGGTTATAAAATATACCAGCAGATATGGTTACAAAATATACCAGCAGATATGGTTACAAAATATACCAGCAGATATGGTTACAAAATATACCAGCAGATATGGTTATAAAATATACCAGCAGATATGGTTATAAAATATACCAGCAGATATGGTTACAAAATATACCAGCAGATATGGTTACAAAATATACCAGCAGATATGGTTATAAAATATACCAGCAGATATGGTTATTCTTCCCGTATCTTATCTTATAATACTGACAGACAAACAAACAAACAAGGATTACTTTAATGTGTGGAGTAACATCAGAGTTGCCACTACACTGGAAGGTGGCCGACTCTCCCGCCACCACGGTCGTGTTCGCCGGATACAGAGGATTAAACTCAGGCTCCTTTGGTCGTGCTTGGTCTGAGGACAACAGATTGAATATACTTATTGTGTAGATTACTATTTAGGAAGTGGTTAGAGTTATGTCGAAACAGTCTATACACCCACTGAGGCATTGCTAGCTGTAGGGTACTGTCAAGGGAGTGTTATACCCTACCCTGGGCTGTCTTCTAGCTGTAGGGTACTGTTAAGTGTAATATCCACAACTCCCACCTTCAAGATACATTACTGGATCTTACAGTACAGTAGTGCGGTTGTCAAGTCCCATTTTGTCCAGCTACGTGGCAGTGACAATTCTTAAATGCAGTTACAGTGATCTGGAGTAACTGGCTTTGATGTACTGTACACTACTACATGATGACGTCAATGAACAGTATAAGGCTGGTTCATGTATACTCTCATTAACTCGGTCATTTATTTCACACTTCGTATTTATTTAAGTAGTTTTCTTTTTATATTCCTAATCTTGTCCTTGTTTCCTGTAATAAATATAAATTCATCATAACATCATTCATTATATCTACTCACATTTTTTCAAACCTTTCTTTCAAATACAAATACAATGCTCTTCCCTTCCTCTCGTGTTCTACTGTAACCTATATTCTCATGCTGTCACTTCCCTCACTACTTGCTAATCTCCCTTTATACTGTAGTGAACAGTGACATCACCCACATGACTCTGGCCTATATATACTGTTATTGAATATGATGTATTTCTTTGTGTATAAACCTCTGTCCTGCGTGGCAGTGAGAAGTGATACCACCCTCAGTGTCAAGACCTGACTGAATTACTCAGAATAGGCAAACTGTACTCCAAGCTTTGTCAATAAATTTGTTAAACTAAAAAAAAAACTAAGACTCTCATTTTATCCAACTCTCCACCTCCCTTCCTTTTGTTCGCGTTCTTACCTATAACTCGCAGTGTCCAATTTGCATTTCTGGCGCCGAGGTCGTTGACAGCAGCACACGTATAGGTCCCTGCATCCTCCGGCCTCAAGTCCAGCAGATGGAGGGAGTGTCGATTGAGGCGAGATTCCCCACCCAGTGATCCTTCCCGCAGTTCCAAGCCATCCTGTAGGGCGCCAAGCTTAGGTTAGGATGGGTTACGCTTACCTTATCTAAACTGATAGATCACAACTCTGTTGTTATCGTCCTCGAGGTTACGTCACCTTAGTTAAGGAGTATTTTTGTATGTGTGTAATAATAATAATAACAATAATAATAATAATAATAATAATAATAATAATAATAATAATAATAATAATAATAATAATAATAATAATAATAATAATTTTAGCAACAATTATAATAAGTATACTACTACTACTATTAATAATAATAATAATAATACTAAAAATAATAATAATAATAATAATAATAAGCGCAGACCAATCAGCAGGTAAGATCTCAAAATAGGTTACCATAAGGGACTTAAATACATTTGTAGTGGACGTCTCCCCTACAACTGCCTACAACTGCGTAGCCACGCCACCACCTGCTACCGCCTTCCCTAGCAACCAACCAGATGTTACCGTATCTTAGCAACGAAACTAGGAACCGGCGACTTCTCGGGTTTTCCCAACATGACTCATAGCGGCTGCTGGGTATATAAGCTCTGTCTCTCCATTGAGATTCATTCTGACCATTCTTCTTGAACAAGCAACACCTCCTCTGCCGCTGCCTGGCTGCCTTCGCTTCTCCTCGCCTGCCTGGCGGTCCTCGCTCCCGCCAGCGAGCATGGCGACCCACCAGCTGTCCTTCTCTGAGCTTCCTCACCAACCAACTCTCATTCTGCCCATCTTCCTGAACAAGCAACATCTCCTCCAGCAAGCTCCACGCTGTTAACATTCATTCAACCAGGAGGCCAGCAACAGGCAACATCTTCTCTAACGAAGCTCCTGCACATCTACCTCCTTCAACACACTACTCACCGAACGTCTTCTACTGAGCAGCCCCTCACCAGACGGCACCTCCAGCACCAGACTGTCTATCATATAACTTATATATTATACAAGAAAACCACATTAGAGTTTCCTTCCATCCTGAGTGCTAGACAACATTAATATCTCGATACCCCTACAATGGTGACTCCCGGAGATTAGCACTCACACAGGATGGAGGAGACACTGATCACGCTCCCAGTCTTCAAGCAGACACCGGCTCCTCTTCCTGCCCCACGCACCACATTCTGACGACCCCAGCACACCCGTCCTGCCTCAGACGCCGACCCCGGCCCAGCAATAACCCCTGACGCGGCCTCTGTTCCTGAATCCGGACCCACACACACCCTCTTTTCTCCCTCAGGTACTCCCTGCTAATGTCCTGCACCCTGCTGCTGTCGTGGACCCAGCTGCTGTCACGAGCCCTAATCCGCTTCTGCTGACGCAGCCCCTGCTCCTGACCCAGGCCCACACACACCCCAGCAGGCGCATCTGACGACCCTGTACCTGTCGTGAGGGAAGCACACCAATCACCGCCTCCACACACCCTTTTTCTCCCTTCTCCCACAGATAGTGTGTATCTAGACAGTTGTATTTCAGCGATCGGCTCATCACGCCATCGCCGTTGTCTCACATGAGGCATGCACCGCCCGGTTTGCCTCACATGTGCTAAGCAACTCTACAGACAACAAGTCTCCTACACCGCCTGGAGGGAAGGGGGAGTATTGTAGTGGACGTCTCCCCTACAACTGCCTACAACTGCGTAGCCACGCCACCACCTGCTACTGCCTTCCCTAGCAACCAACCAGATGTTACCGTATCTTAGCAACGAAACTAGGAACCGGCGACTTCTCGGGTTTTCCCAACATGACTCATAGCGGCTGCTGGGTATATAAGCTCTGTCTCTCCATTGAGATTCATTCTGACCATTCTTCTTGAACAAGCACCACCTCCTCCTCCGCCGCTGCCTGGCAGCCCTCGCTTCTCCTCGCCTGCCTGGCGGTCCTCGCTCTCGCCAGCGAGCATGGCGACCCACCAGCTGTCCTTCTCTGAGCTTCCTCACCAACCAACTCTCATTCTGCCCATCTTCCTGAACAAGCAACATCTCCTCCAGCAAGCTCCACGCTGTTAACATTCATTCAACCAGGAGGCCAGCAACAGGCAACATCTTCTCTAACGAAGCTCCTGCACATCTACCTCCTTCAACAAGCTACTCACCGAACGTCTTCTACTGAGCAGCCCCTCACCAGACGGCACCTCCAGCACCAGACTGTCTATCATATAACTTATATATTATACAAGAAAACTAAATTAGAGTTTCCTTCCATCCTGAGTGCTAGACAACATTAATATCTCGATACCCCTACACATTCATAATATTGATGAGGGTAATGGGGATAGAAAATTGGGTCTTTGAGGGAAATAGGCATTATTGGAGAAGGGTTCACGAGTATAAAAAGTGGCGTGTCTCGCTGGTACAATACAGATATATGAGGGAGACGAACAATAGGCACGTAACCCCACCTGCCATTATAATAACAAAAGGCTATATGGATTATAACTTTATCTTAGGTTATTTTTATCTCTTAATACAAGGAAAACTCCTCTGTTTATCTCTTAATACAAGGAAAACTCCTCTGTTTATCTCTTAATACAAGGAAAACTCCTCTGTTTATCTCTTAATGCAAGGAAAAACTTCTCTGTTTATCTCTTAATACAAGGAAAAACTTCTCTGTTTATCTCTTAATACAAGGGAAAACTTCTCTGTTTATCTCTTAATACAAGGAAAAACTCCTCTGTTTATCTCTTAATACAAGGGAAAACTTCTCTGTTTATCTCTTAATACAAGGAAAAACTTCTCTGTTTATCTCTTAATACAAGGAAAAACTCCTCTATTTATCTCTTAATACAAGGAAAAACTTCTCTGTTTATCTCTTAATACAAGGAAAAACTCCTCTGTTTATCTCTTAATACAAGGAAAAACTTCTCTGTGTATCTCTTAATACAAGGAAAAACTCCTCTATTTATCTCTTAATACAAGGAAAACTCCTCTGTTTATCTCTTAGTACAAGGAAAACTCCTCTGTTTATCTCTTAATACAAGGAAAAACTTCTCTGTTTATCTCTTAATACAAGGAAAAACTTCTCTGTTTATCTCTTAATACAAGGAAAAACTCCTCTGTTTATCTCTTAATACAAGGAAAACTCCTCTGTTTATCTCTTAATACAAGGAAAACTCCTCTGTTTATCTCTTAATACAAGGAAAAACTTCTCTGTTTATCTCTTAATACAAGGGAAAACTTCTCTGTTTATCTCTTAATACAAGGAAAAACTCCTCTGTTTATCTCTTAATACAAGGAAAAACTTCTCTGTTTATCTCTTAATACAAGGAAAAACTTCTCTGTTTATCTCTTAATACAAGGAAAAACTCCTCTATTTATCTCTTAATACAAGGAAAAACTTCTCTGTTTATCTCTTAATACAAGGAAAAACTCCTCTGTTTATCTCTTAATACAAGGAAAAACTTCTCTGTTTATCTCTTAATACAAGGAAAAACTCCTCTATTTATCTCTTAATACAAGGAAAACTCCTCTGTCAAGATGAGGACTGTGTCAAGACAGAGGACTGTGTCAAGATGAGGGACTGTGTCAAGATGAGGGACTGTGTCAAGACTAGGGACTGTGTCAATATCAAGGACTGTGTCAAGATCAGGACTATGTCAAGATCAGGGACTGTGTCAAGATAAGGAGTGTCAAGATCAAGGGACTGTGTCAAAATCAAGGACTGTGTCAAGATCAGGGACTGTGTCAAGATCAGGGACTGTGTCAAGATGAAGGACTGTGTCAAGATCAAGGACTGTGTCAAGATGAGGACGTGTCAAGATGAGGGACTGTGTCAAGATCAAGGGACTGTGTCAAAATCAAGGGACTGCGCTCAATATCAAGGACTGTGTCAAGATTAGAGGACTGTGTCAAGATCAGGGGACTGTGTCAAGATCAGGGATGTGTCAAGATCAAGGACTGTGTCAAGATCAGGGACTGCGTCAAGATCAGGGGACTGTGTCAAGATCAAGGAACTGTGTCAAGATCAAGGGACTGTGTCAAAATCAAGGACTGTGTTAGGGTCAAGGACTGTGTCAAGATAAGGAGTGTCAAGATCAAGGACTGGGTCAAAATCAAGGACTGTGTCAAGATCAGGGACTGTGTCAAGATACAAGGGACTGTGTCAAGATACAAGGGACTGTGTCAAGATCATGGGACTTTGTCAAGATCAAGGGACTGTGTCAAGATCAAGGGACTGTGTCAAGATCAGACTGTGTCAAGATCAGGGACTGTGTCAGGGTCAAGGGTTGTGTCAAGATCAAGGACTGTGTCAAGATAAGGGACTGTGTCAAGATGGGGGACTGTGTCAAGATGAGACTGTGTCAAGATCAAGAATGTCAAGATCAAGGGACTGTGTCAAGATCAGGGACTGTGTCAAGATCAAGGACTGTGTCAAGATCAGGGACTGTGAAGATACAAGGGACTGTGTCAAGATACAAGGACTGTGTCAAGATACAGGGACTGTGTCAAGATCAGGGACTGTGTCAAGATCAGGGGACTGTGTCAAGAGGAGGGACTGTGTCAAGATCAGAGGACTGTGTCAAGATCAAGGGACTGTATCAAGATCAAGGGACTGTGTCAAGATTAGGGGACTGTCAAGATCAAGGGACTGTGTCAAGATCAGGGACTGTGTCAAGATACAAGGACTGTGTAAAGATCAGGGGACTGTGTCAAGATCAGGACTCTGTCGAGGTCAAGGGACTGTGTCAGATCAAGGGATTGTGTCAAGATCAGGGACTGTGTCAAGATGGGGGACTGTGTCAAGATGGGGGACTGTGTCAAGATCAAGGGACTGTGTCAAGATCAAGGGACTGTGTCAAGATCAGGACTGTCAAGATCAGGGACTGTGTCAAGATCAGGGACTGTGTCAAGATCAAGGGACTGTGTCAAGATACAAGGGACTGTGTCAAGATACAAGGGACTGTGTCAAGATCAAGGGACTGTGTCAAGATACAGGGACTGTGTCAAGATACAAGGGACTGTGTCAAGATCAAACGACTGTGTCAAGATCAGGGACTGTGTCAAGATCAA